TTCGATTTGCTAGCCATGTCAAAACGATGACCCCTAGAACGAAGAAGACAAAGCTCACACAAGCAAACCTCTGCAACGCGCTGAAAGAAAAAACTAATTTGTACAATAAAGCAAGCGTTTTGTATACGGTAAGTTTTCAGACAAAAGCTTCATTAGTATTCGCTATCCTACTCTATTACTCAACCAAAACTAATGCAACACTTTTGTTGGAGGTAAAATTGTTGTTAGAAGTCACACCTATAAATCGGCAGAAGATGCATGCCATGACGGTGACGACGGCGAAGACAAGATCCCACGTGTGATGTTTGGAGAACGTCGAAAGCCCAAGAAATACGAAAATTATCGCTTCGCAACTAAAAAGTGTGAAGTCCACTCAATCAGTTTTTGTGCTTTTTTCTTTAAATGATGTTAGTCAACGCCTCTTTTAGCAGTAGTCAAAGTATTAGAAGAAAATGGAGAAATTCGTTAATTTATAATAAAATTTTACCTGCTGCACACGAACAGAAGAGCGATTATCATTTCAAAGCACAAACTTCATTTAACGCCCTGTTCACAAATCTACACATACTTCGAGATTTATAGGTGATAACGTATACCCTTCTCAACAATTGCATACGCGTTTATTTCATATAGCTTCCTCAATCAGATAACGCTTTTTGCGCAACAAATCGGTCGTGCTAACTTTTAAGGGAAATGCCATAATACCCCCTTCTACTAAAGCTATTAGAAGGTGCGTTTAAAAGTTTATCGCGACAGCGGCCCCAGTTTATGCAGCAAAAAATTCAATCAGTCACTTTCACTCCATCGGGTGTTGTCGAAGTTACTAATGACATAGCAAAGCATCTACCTCTACACTGAAACGGGTCGCAAAACTCGTTGTGAGAGATTTTTACAGGTAAGAAGAAGAAGCACTATCATAGAGATATTTTTTGCTCTCAAATTTTATATTTTGATTTTTTCAAAAGTAAGTAAAGCAGGAACCTCCAGTCACTACTTCTTAAAAGACATTACTCGGGTCAGTTTTTCATTAGCAGTCTTTCATTAACTATTATTGTGATATTTCTTATATTAATGTAGTGACGAGCTTCAACGTGCAGCAATAATCAGTCATAATTGGTAACAAATGCGATCGAATAAAAACTAAGGATGATATATGGGTTTACGTCATAGCAGCAGTTTCTAATACTTTTTGAATGAGGTTTGCAGCTCACGGCTTTGATTTTCAGATGGTAACAAATTAAATGAAGTACCAATGCAACGGAAGAAGACTGAGTAAGCATAGCATTTTGAGGAAGACGCATGCATACACACTTCCAGTGGTGACTCCGAATATGCCTTCCTTATCTACTTCTGCACTTTGAGGATAATTATGGACGATTTTTAGCATTTTTTAATG